GCATAGCAACACGACAGAGAAAAGAGAGAAAAGAGAGAAAAAGAGGAGGAGGAGGGAGGAGAGAAGAAAAGCCTCTCTCTCTCTCTCTCTCTCTTTTCTCTCATAATTTTATTCCTTTTTAAGATTTCTTCTCCCAGGAAAAAGGAGCCGTGTGTCAGATGCCCTCCCCGAGTCTGTGTGTGTGTGATTCTGTGTGATTGTGTCAGATGCCCTCCCGTCCTCCCGTCCTCTCGTCCTCCATCCTCTCGTTCTTCGGTTCTTTCAGTTTGTTGCGTTTTGTTGGAGTCACGAGTAAAAAACTGTGGAACATTTGGAGCTTTTCAAACTCAAGGCCGAGATGGAGAGAAACAGAAAGAAAAAAAGAGAGAAAGAGAAAGAGACTGAGGGAGGAGAGGAACCAAAATAAATCTTTACAAAATCATCTGAAGAAAATATTTTGGATCATTTCAACAAAAAACTGAAAAATAAAAAGTGTGAAATAAAATAAAAAGTGTTAGTCGAGGTTTATTTTATCAGTGTAAAAATGTTTCAGGTTTAAATTTTGTTTTGAAAATGATTTTGTTTTTAAATGTTCTAAAACGACGGGACAGAAACAAAAAAAAATCTGAGTTTTGATTAAAATAATCAAACGAACTTGACCCGAGTCAAGTTTTTGTCACATTTAATTTAAATCTTTGTCTTTTGGTTTTGTGATTTATTTATTTCTTTTCAGGATTTGTTTGTTTCAGAAACAAATTTTCTGGATTTAAAATTAGATGTTTTTTAAAATTCTAAATTCACCTGAAACTCACCTGAACGTCTCGACATTTCAAGTGTAAAAGTGTAAATTTGGTTTCCAGGCGATGAGTGAAACGAGTTTATTTTTAGAACGAAGAAAAAAGAAAAAAACAGGAAAAGTCAAAGAATAAAAATCCACTTTGGTTTAAATCAATTAAAAATACTAATAATAATAATAAAGACATTTGGTGAAACAGTAAAATTCTAAAATTAAATTTCAGCTTCAGCCAAAATACACAAATGAAGTACTACAAGTACTACAAGTACTACTACTAATAAAATAAAATCAAACAATAAATATATATAAATAAATAAAATTTCTGACATTTATATTTTTTATATTTTTGAATAAAAATAATAAAATAGCTAGAATAAGTTGGGCATTAAGGCATTTTGTAATTTTTTTTATTTTATTTGTGAAATATTTATTTCCAAAATGTAAGTTCTTTTCCCCCCCGACCTGGAGCCACAGACTCTGCAGCTCAGGTCACAGGTCACGTTTCCTCGTGGTGACGCTAACACGAGGCACTGTTCTGTCTGAAACTGAGTCAAGTCACGACTTTAATCTGACCAGAAGGACCCGACTCTGAACGGCAACAGGTCACGTGACCTGAGCTGTTCGACGAGTCTGAAAAACCAGAGTCACAAAAAAGAAGAAATTTACCAAGTGTGAGCGTCAGAGTCGCGAGTTCAGTGAGCGAGAACAGCGCCTCCTGCTGGAAGAGAAAAGAGTCTCCAGAGTCTGAAGGAACCGAAGCAGCTCCGACAAACAGTCAAATAAATCAACTTTTGTTCAGTTCACAAATTTAATTTGTCCTTTTGCCGTCGATTTGAGCTGAACACATCACACGAGCTAACGCTAATGTAGCACTAGCGTTAGCGTTAGCGTTATCCAGCACTTTCACCAAACGTTTTCTTTCTGTCGTGGTTCTGGTTCAGATCAGAGTTTATTTGTTAATAAATTGGGTCAAAATCTCTAAATATGTCTGAAGAGTCCAGGTCCGGGTTCAGGTCCAGGTCCGGGTCCAGGTCCGGGTCCAGGTCCGGGTCCGGGTCCAGGTCCGGGTCCAGGTCCAGGTCCAGGTCCGGGTCCAGGTCCAGGTCCAGGTCCAGGTCCAGGTCCAGGTCCGGGTCCAGGTCCAGGTCCGGGTCCGGGTCCGGGTCCAGGGTCCGGGTCCAGGTCCAGGTCCGGTCCGGTCCAGGTCCAGGTCCAGGTCCAGGTCCGTCCAGGTCCAGGTCCGGGTCCGGGTCCAGGTCCAGGTCCGGGTCCAGGTCCCTTTCGTTCGCAGACGCCGACGTCGCGACAGAAACAGATTTTTTATTTTAGATTCAGACACTTTGTGTTTGAGCGTCCAGGGCATCTGGGTTAAAAGAGCGAGACTCTAAAGGACGTCAGAGTGAAACCAGACGGAGACACGTCGGGACTAACCACCTAAACCCGTCTGTCTCCATGGAGACCAAACCAGACGGTGTTCCAGGTCAGATCTGTGCAGAGGCGACTAAATCTGCAACTGTGACTGAATAAATGTGAAGTGGAGCTGTTTAAAGTCACACTGCGGAACATTCCGGACAGAACAGTGACGTCTCCATGGAAACGAGGAGACGGACGCCCAACCTGAAAAGTTCCAGAGTGGAGCTTTAACAGCGTCAGAGCTCAGACTCTGCGCCGACACGACAGAAAAGAAAAACATTTGTCAGACTCCAGTTTTTTGTGAATTCTGCATTTTATTGTTGAAAAATGCATCTGAAAACGAAACGACAAAAAATGAAATGAACAAAGTGGCGCTGAGAAGAGAAAAGTCCAGCGCGAGCAGAAAACGGATCCTGTGGAAATGCAAAAGTCTCTGAGGTTTAAGTTCTGCAGAAAAGACAGAGAAACAGAAGAACAAAAAGCTTTGAAAAATCAGTGGATTTGTTTTGTTCAGAGTCTACGATCTTTCACGCGTTTCACTATTTTAGTTCAAAACTCTGAAGGCAAAAGTGAAGACGACCTGAAGCACAAACCCGTCGAACTCCCCAACGCCGCGCTGCACAGGAAGTGTTCACGGGCGAGTTTGGGCTCCACAGACTCTGGCTCTGGTTCAGTTTGTGTGGAAACGCGTGACCTTCTCTCTGTTGGTCTGAACCTGCTCCTGATCCTGAGGTTTGGGCTCCAACATTTTGTCCAGAAATCATCGTCTCTGTTCACGCTCACGTCACAAACCACAAGACGTTTGGAAACTCGTGATGACGACTCGTGGTTTAGTTCTGGACTCTGGACTCGCCGACCGGTCGTGGAAAAAAAAACGTAGATTCAGCAGCGTCTTCAAAACCTGCCACAACTTTCTAATCACATCTTCAGTGACTTTTACAGACGTGTAAAAAAACTAAACGAAAGTCTGAACGTTCTTTGTAGAAAAGGACGTGTTTGGTTCCCAGGGTAAAAATTATTTGTCGGCAAATTAAGATAAATGTGTCACATTTAGATGAAGAACATGGATATTTAAACATTTTTCTTATATTTTGTCAGATTTACGAGCGCAGACAGAGTCCACAGGAAGTTTCATCACACGTTTCCAAACGTCTTCCAGGTTTGTGACGTCAGCGTGAACAGAGAGACTCGCAGGCCTCGATGAGCTTCATTTGACTGGAGCTGAACTCTGGTGACGTCACCCTCCCTCAGAACTTCAGTCTGAACTTCAGACCTAAAACAAACCTCTAAAGTCTGATTTCTAAAGTGATTTTAGCAACTCCAGACTGACACTGGTCCAGACCCGTGAAGGTCTGAAGGGTCCTGACCCTGAAGGGTCCTGACTCTGAAGGGTCCTGACCCTGAAGGGTCCTGACCCTGGAGGGTCCTGACCCTGGAGGGTCCTGACCCTGGAGGGTCCTGACTCTCCTGACCTGAAGGTCCTGACCCTGGAGGGTCCTGACTCTGGAGGGTCCTGACTCTGAAGGGTCCTGACTCCTGGAGGGTCCTGACCCTGGAGGGTCCTGACTCTGAAGGGTCCTGACTCTGAGGGTCCTGACCCTGGAGGGTCCTGACCCTGGAGGGTCCTGACTCTGGAGGGTCCTGACCCTGGAGGGTCCTGACTCTGGAGGGTCCTGACTCTGAAGGTCCTGACCTGGAGGGTCCTGACTCTGAAGGGTCCTGACTCTGAAGGGTCCTGACTGGAGCCTGACTCTGAGGGTCCTGACTGTCTGGAAGGGTCCTGACCTGAACCTCAAAGCTCTGAGGTTGTGAGTGACAGGTGGATCAGCCAATCAGAAACCGGCGTCTGTATCACGACGACAAAAGGACAAAATGTGACGCGTCTGAAAACCTGGAGGATTTGAAGATTCGGTGAAGCTCTGAACTTCATCTGAGGAGACGTGAACGACCAATGAGCTGCTCCCGTTCACACGAGTCACTGAAATAACCTCGTCTGATTGGACGTCGTTGTTCTGACCAGAACTTAGAGTTTCAGAGGTTGATTTGTCGATGTGACGAAGCTCAAAATAAACGTTCACAGATGGAACCGTTTGGTCTGAAAAGTGTCGTCTTCACTTTGACCTTTTGTTTCCATCGACTCTGTACAAAGTTTAAAGGGTCGAGTCCAAAACCGTGAACTCAAACAGACCAGAAGCACACGAGAGTCCAGAGGAAAACCCAAGAACCCAAACAAGAGACATATATTAATTTACAAAACCAAAAATAAAAATATACATTAAACTTTGGGGCTCCAGCAACAGCAGGGGTCAAAGGTCAAAGGTCAAACACAGAACAGTTTAAAATCCTGTACACATTTACACGAAAACACTGAACCCCAAGAAGAAGAAGAAGAAGAAGAAGAAGAAGAAGAAGAAGAAGAAGAAGAAGAAGAAGAAGAAGAAGAAGAAGAAGCTCCTTTTGGTTTTCATGTTTTTACAGTTTTGAGTTTTTAATCTGAGGTGAGTCCCGGCTGTGCCAGATGCCCTCCCAGACGCCGCCGTCGGAGAACGAAGAACGAAAAGATCAGGGAAAAACATCTGGAGATTTGTGACGAGACACAGACGAGTCCAGACTCCAGGGTCCGAGGAGGAACTCGGGTTTGTACTGAAATAAAGGTTCCTCCAGGTTCCTCCAGGTTCCTCGAGCCCCGCGGCGTTTGTCCGGTGTGTGTGTGTGTGTGTGTGTGTGTGTGTGTGTGTGTGTGTGTGTGTGTGTGTGTGTGCTCTGAGGCAGGTCGGTGTTTGCGTCCAGTCGTCGTCTCGTCTCGGTCCTCCGTCTCGTCCTCCGTCTCGTCCTCCGTCTCGTCCTCCGTCTCGTCCTCCGTCTCGTCCTCCGTCTCGTCCTCCGTCTCGCCGCGGCGTCTCAGACCTGCTGTTTTCCGCTCCGAGCCGCCGACGGGACAAACTTGGGGATGATGATGGGCACGGTCTGTCGGTTTGACGGCTGCAGGACGCCGTAGCCGTTCCCGACGTGGGCGGCGTGTTGTTGTTGTTGTTGTTGCTGCTGCTGTTCTTCTTCTTCTCCTTCGTCGCTCTCCTCTTCCTCCTCCTCCTCCTCTTCCTCGGACATGTCCTCCACCTCCTCGTACTCCGGCCCCGCCCCCTGGTTTAGCCCCGCCCTCACGTTCAGGGTGTAGCCGCCGCGCCGCTCCTCGTCTTCGTCGCTGTCGGAGTCGATGGCGATGGTCTCGGGCTGCTGCGTTCTGATTGGCTGCGAGCCGTTACCGATCGTCCTCGCGCCGCCGCCGCCGTTCACTTTTCCTTTGGCCCTCCTCCTCGCCTCCGAAACGCCGATCCGGCGTCGTGACGTGCGGCTCCGCCCCTCTCGTCCTTTAAAGTTCCCGGCGTGAGCGATGGCGAGCGGGTGGCGGATGTCGGCGAGTCGCTCCATGCTGAAGCCGAGCAGGACGCCGGCGCTCCGAGCTCGGCACGTCCGCACACACCTGTTCCTCTCGTTCACGAAGTGATTCAAAATGTCCGACTTCCACATCCAGAGCCGCGTGGCGAGTTTCTCCATCTCGCGGTGGGAGGGGTACGGCGCTTTGGCGAAGTAGCGGCTCAGAAACGCCTTCTTCACGTCGTGCGGTTTGGACTCGAGGCCGCGGGGGTCCAGCGCCAGCGTCACCGGCTCGTCCGGGTCGTCGGGGAAGAGCACGGCGTTCACGTCCCGGGGGTGCGCCTTCTCCCCGGGGGGCCCGCGCCGGCGTTTGGGGGCGGGGCCGTCGGGAGCGGAGGCGGGGCCGGGTCTCTTGGCGGCGGCGGCGGGCGGGGCCTGGACGCGCGGCGAGGGGCCGGTCTGAGTCTTTCCCACGCCGCGGCAGTGGACGAGGTGCAGCGTGATGGTGGACGCCGTCATGTTGCTCGTGTAGACGCCCAGACAGTGGATGCACTTGTACGTCAATTTCTTCTCCACCGGGTGAACCGTCTGGATCACCTGAAACACCACAACACGGAACCACGTCAGAACAGCACGGAACAACACGGAACCACGTCAGAACAGCACGGAACAACACGGAACCACGTCAGAACAGCACGGAACAACACGGAACCACGTCAGAACAGCACGGAACAACACGGAACCACGTCAGAACAGCACGGAACCACGTCAGAACAGCACGGAACAACACGGAACCACGTCAGAACAGCACGGAACAACACGGAACCACGTCAGAACAGCACGGAACAACACGGAACCACGTCAGAACAGCACAGAACAACACGGAACCACGTCAGAACAGCACGGAATAACACGGAACCACGTCAGAACAGCACGGAACCACGAGGAACAACACGGAACAACACGGAACCACGAGGAACAACACGGAACCACGTCAGAACAGCACAGAACAACACGGAACCACGTCAGAACAGCACGGAACCACGTCAGAACAGCAGGGAACAACACAGAACCACGTCAGAACAGCACGGAATAACACAGAACCACGTCAGAACAGCACGGAACAACACGGAACCACGTCAGAACAGCACGGAATAACACAGAACCACGTCAGAACGACACGGAACCACGAGGAACAACACGGAACAACACGGAACCACGAGGAACAACACGGAACCACGTCAGAACAGCACGGAACAACACGGAACCACGTCAGAACGACACGGAACCACGAGGAACAACACGGAACCACGAGGAACAACACGGAACCACGAGGAACAGCGAGGAACAACACGGAACCACAAGGAACAACACGGAACCACGTCAGAACAGCACGGAACAACACGGAACCACGTCAGAACAGCACGGAACAACACGGAACCACGTCAGAACGACACGGAACCACGAGGAACAACACAGAACCACAAGGAACAACACAGAACCACAAGGAACAACACGGAACCACAAGGAACAACACGGAACTACGTCAGAACAACGAGGAACAACACGGAACCACGAGGAACAGCGAGGAACAACACGGAACCACAAGGAACAACACGGAACTACGTCAGAACAACGAGGAACACCACGGAACCACATCAGAACAACACGGAACCACAAGGAACAACACGGAACCACAAGGAACAACACGGAACCACAAGGAACAACACGGAACCACAAGGAACAACACAGAACACAAGGAACAACACGGAACCACGTCAGAGCGAAGAACAACATGGAACCACGTCAGAGCAGAAGGAAAAGAACAAAAAGGTGAAGGACTTTATGGAGGAGTTTTTCCGTCTGTGGGGAATTAAAGAGCGAGATGTGACTTCTCTGGAACAGAACTTTTCACATCGTCTGACGTGTTGCTGGAG